TGTCATTCCCTAAAGCATCATTAAATTCAAACAAATAATCATATTCTAATGAGAGAGACACATGACTTGAAATGGAAAATATCATGCAAAGATGGATTAGATCCATTCGTAATTCAAATTGATACGAACGATGTTTTCAAAGTTAATAGGCTTAGCCATTTCGAAGTTGAGAAAGGGTTGAGTTGGCAATGCAGTGACGGAATTGTGGGGCTATGCTAGGGGCTATGTTATTAACATGTTTGATAAGCCAGCTCGTAGTTAAAAAATCGTTTCCAGTATGCATGCCTTTTTATCCCAAATTTCTCRCCTTCTTTTATTTAAACCCTTAATCAAACAAAAGTTGAAGAAAAATTTGGGATAAAATTGAGTGCACATCACTGAAAACGATCCTCAAACTACGAACTGCATGGCTCATTTCTATRTGGCGTCTATTTTGTCCCCTGTACCAGACCCATAATGAATTACGAATTCAACTCAGTGTTCCAGTGGATAGCGAATAGCTRATAGCATAAGATCGTCTTATACTGTGCACACTTTTTATCAACAGTATTTCAATAGTTTTAATTAGTGTTCTAGGTATAGATTATTAAAGTTTACATTACGCGTGAAGTACAAAAAGAAAGTGTTTTAAATCTCAAGTTTCTCGGTATTGTAAATCAAACATGGTAGCTAATAATAACTTGGTGCTTCCAAACGAACAATTCGTTTTAAATATTCTCCTTTTGTATCCTTGCTGCAAAGTTTCTTCATCTTACCCAATTTTTTCAGCCCTAATTTATCAATTAACTAACTATTATATCAAATTAACACGATTTTCTCAATAAACCCGGAAATCTAAAGTATAAAATTCGATAAAATATAAGTAGAAAATCATCAAACTAGAAATATAAAAAATAGCTATTTTAAAACAGGAGAGTTAAGTTGCACCAGTGCCTAGTTGCCGTGGAAACGGTGTAACAAAAAGTAAATGACTATGATTTTTATTTCGTTGAAATAAGTTTTCAGTGATTTTAAACTTTAAAACAAAAACCTTGCTTCTTTTGTGTCTAGCATTTTAAAAAGTTGCATTATTATAATGAAAGCCTTTTTGAGATTTACTGAAAATGTTTTTTTGTATTTATCAGCCTATTTTTGCGGTATCTTGCTTATAGATACAAAAATCTCAGTGCTAATGGTTTCAAGACTTGCTGAGTAATAAAATTATTTGCTGTGTGACTTTTTGCCGGTGAACTAAGTTAATAGGCTAAGTTAACAAGCAACGGAAATGAAAGCTAAAGAGGAATATATTTTCAAATACTGATTCAAAAAAAGTAAATTCGAATTTATTTAAAAGAAAAATGACCCCAAATAGTGGAAGACGTTGTGACAATCCTCCATTACCACATTTAGTACAGACCTAAAAAAAGTAAGAATAAATGGCCAACAAAATTTCTTTCGCTCAATATTTGAAGATTTGTTTTCTATTTTATGTTTAAAGACACTGTCAAAGACAACCGGAGAATGAAGGCTTACCTGGCTGGGGAAGCTCGAAGTCTACGATCTGCAGACTACCGAAGAATGAAACTATCAGGTGAATTATYATATCACTTGATTCAATAAAAATAACCACAAACAGATTTAAACGTAATCCAATATTTCCCGTCCTTYTGTARTTTTAGCGACACARTCGATTACTATTGAGCCCGAAACTCCATTTGTTAGTGAACGTGTTGTGTGCTTCTAATGTTGCAGTGTTTATTGTTTAATTGTTCAAGTTTCAGGTAATTGCTTCATGGCCAATAGGAATCTTTTAATTCCTGTCATGATCATTCGTTTAACTAAATTGAAGGAAATAAAAGAAAAGTGTTCCAGATGAATCCTGTCATGTTGTGTAGCTGTGGGATGCTAAATTACACAGAATGAAATTACAACAAAGGTATATTTTTGCGCGACGCCGTATTGCAGATATGCATGGGTTCAATGCAAACAAGTTTGAAGTTTTGTCATGCAGGCCTGGTTACAAAAAATAAAGTAGCTAAGGTAGACTAATCTGTTATCCACTATGTTTCAAAAAAATTCAAAGATAAGATATGAAGGGGGGAAAAAAGACGCAAATGTTTGTATTTGGTCACACGCTTTTATTGTTGCATAATAAATACAGCAATCCACATTTATCTAGCATAGAATAAGGGAATTTCTTTGTCAAGTTAGCAAATAAGCAAACAAGCAGTCAAGCAAGCAAGCGGCAAGGCTTGTGACCAAAATATTTGTTACCAATATATTTACTCATCATAGATAACGGGTGCTTCTAGACTGCATTGCGTCTTTTAAATTAAACTTTTTTTAAATTTATGCACCTCTTTAGAACTTCCGCGTGGTTCATTGTCCTCCCGGAAAGCAACATCTGCCAAGCGGCGAATGATAACAAGAAGAGGTATAGTGATAGCCTCCACCTGGGCAGCTTGTTCGAAAAGCCCAAAGGTCGCCTTTCCCAGGAACTTTCCCATACCAACATTCACACCTCACGGCTCGGGCTTTAAAAGGTATTTCTATAAAACATAAAAAGTAACAAATAATTAACAAAATGAAACCAGAATATGAGAACTAAAGGTCTACTCATCAATTAGATCCGAAGCCTGAATGCATGAGCTTAGTCTCCCCCACAGCCGCTTTCAGTGTCGTCACGCAACGCTTTCTCCCCTAAGTGGAAAAAGCGTTGCGTGACGACACTGAAAGCGTCTGCGGGAAAACTAGCACGAAGTTGAACTGGGCATATTTTTATATCAAACATTGTTATATAAATTAACGTAAAAGGGAAGACAAAGGCCTTATTTCTTCAGCTCGTAGCTGGTGTCCTAGTGAGCTGACGTTGTGCGCTTTACATCCTTCAGCTTTCCCCATCACTGCCATATTTTAACAACTGATTAGAAAAAATGGTCGAAAAGAAAGCGGAGATCCCATGGATCGAACCGTTGATGTTAAGCTCTGAAGACCGCACAAAAACCGACTGAGCTCTTTCTGCTCCTAAAATATATTTTCAAATTATATCATGTTATTATATCATGTATTTGAGTTCAATTTTGAATTCGAAATTGTATTTTCTTTCTAATATCTGATGACAAAGTGATTAAAAAACTCTTAATCTAGTTTTGGTACTAGAAAGAATTTGATCAATGTTGTTACTTTGAAATATTCTAAAACCCAAATATTCGGAGAAACTTTTAACCATTTTGCAGTCATTCAAAAATCCWGTTGAACTCGTATTAAATTCTTATTTTAAAAAAGTTTTTACGTATTTTATTTCATACCTTCGAGCAATTGGAGTCCATTCTTCACATATTTTCCGCTAAGACAATGAAAAAGAGT